CTGTTTTTCTTCTTTTTTTTTTTCCTCTCTTCTAACCTGTCACTTCATAGAGCTCTATTAACAAGTAGGTAAACAGCAATCTAAATACTCTCCCAAATAGATCTGAATTTCATATGTCAACTTCAATTTCACTCACACATATTTTCCCAAAAGCTGTCATGAAGCCAGTTTTACTGCATTACTTAACAGGAATAGGAGTAGGAGTAAAAACAACTTGAGAGATATATTTTATTGGACATTATATGTTGATAAACTATAGGCTGGGAATACTTTATTTCTGAGAAAATAGTAATTATTTTGGTTTTTACTTTTCAAGCAGGGGGTAAAGAACCTAATGTTTATTGAATCTCTAATGCATGTAGAGTTTATGTTATGATTCATACTATGATTTCATTAAGTCCCCCCAAAAACATGGTGAGGTCATTTACATGTAAGAAAACTGAAGCTCAGGTTTTTAAGAAACTTATTGAAGAATACAATCTGGCAAATGACTTACTAGAATGGACAGGAGAGAAACTGTCAAAGGTAAATTGCATTGTGTGATGATCACAAGCTTAATAACCTGTGGAGTGTTTAATTCATCAAAGTTCAGCTTTAGATTGAGATTTATCATCAAGTCTGACAAAGACTTAACTAGAAATGAGAATCAATAGGTTGATAAAATGTAGATCTCATTTGTCAAGAAACTATTACTTTCCACGTTTAAATGGAGAATCAGTTAGCTTAAATTTCTGTCATTATTACCATCATATAGGGATAGATACATTTAGATCAACTAGTAAAAACAACAAAGCATTGGATCTTAGGAGAAAGGCAGATTTACCTACTGACAAGGAGATAGGCTTTGAGGACCAAGGTGAGGCAGAAAGGGTAAATAGTAATCACTAGAACCTAGCATGAATTTTCTTATATAGATGTCATGTTGTACTGACCACATATTGGTTACAAAGAATAAAAGGTGAAAAAAATTCAACAAATGTGAATGATCACTCATTACAAATTGGTAAATAAATAGAAAAAAAATGAGTTTATTAAGAACATTTACATAATCTGATTCAGTTGAATAAATATAACTAGGGAGTACTGACTAATAGATTAGACTTAATTTTTCAGGGTAACTCTAATGGGAATTTCCATGACTGTATCTTTGTCCTGCCTTTGTCAGGCTTTCAAAATAAATACATGGACAAATAAATACATATCTCATTAAATCCATAGAAGATATACAATTCGGAAGGAAAACAAGTATATTGGATAATATAATCAGAAACCAAAATATATCATAGAGTCTATAAATAATCTATTCAATCAGTGAGAAAGCATACTAATTAGACTTAAAGTTTATTTCTGAACTTTTGCCTTAAGTATATTTATAGAAAAACAATTGAAGACTTGTAAATCTGCAGGCCACTCATATTTTTCTATTTCTGAAGTATATGCCAATCCACACTAAGATCAGAGGGATAAAAATAAATTTTTCTGATATACAAACAATAGAATTTGATAATTTTTCCTTGATTTTGAGTTGCAACTCTTTTAATAAAACTAAAGTTTCCTCATTTGTCCTTGACACTCAACTTGAGAAAATGTACATTGTTATGTGAAGCATTACATCTCTTCTGTAAAATGAGGGAACTAAAGATAAGAGCAGTTAACTATCATATAGAAATTTTGCTTGTGATTGATGTGACAGAATTTTGATTTTAGTTTAAGTTGATTTGGAACCAATATCTGGATTCTACTTGGACTATGTAAGAAACTCAGACTAAACAAAAAATAAGTATTGCAGAGAAAATAAGAGAAAAGTTTAGCTTAATGTGTTGAGAATATTATCTTGTCTTTTGATTGGGAGAAGTATACATCTCTTCATATGTTAAAAAATATTTCTGAGAAGCATTAGCCCTTTACAGCAAAAAACACAAAATAAAAATAAGAAGTCCTTAAGTCTCACTCAAAGAGGCCAATTTTTATTAAAGTCTACAACTCTTTTCCAGAATTACTCCCAGAATTCTGTATCAATATTATCTTTACTCTTCTCCTTTTCCTCTATCTAAACCAAGCATCATCAATTTTATAGGTAAAGACAGAACACTTTTTCTTTGAATGGCATTACTTTTAAAATTTCATCTAATTACAGATTATACGACTTGCCACATGCTGTATTCCACCATTTTAAAATCTACTTTCAATGTGTATAACTATGTTATAATGTCTCATAAAAATAAAAATTTCATATTATTAACTAATATAAATATATATAATTTAGCACTATGAATATTTAAATTATTAGCTAGCATGAAAATCTGTCTTATTTTCTTCTATTGAAAAATATATGCAACATTACAAAAGACAAATAAAAGAACTGCATGTGAATCTCTTTGAAAGTTAAGGAATAGTTTTGTGAGTACATGTTTAGGTGTGTATATATTTATGTTTGTTCATCTATATGTACATGTACAAGCAAATAAAATGTCTGTGAGCAGATAAGTATGCATTTACATAATACAAGTTCTTATCAAGAATTTGCAAAGATATGATATGAGGCTTCAAGACGCAAGGAGAAAAGTATAGATTTTGGAATTAGGTGAGTTAAATTTAAGAAGCAATTTCATAATTTACCACTAATCAAATTCTGGTAAGTTTCCAATACATCACTGAGTGATATCTTCTTCAGAGTATTATTGTGACTATTAAATGAAATGTTACACATGAATTGTATTGCATATAAAGTAAAATGCTTTGATTTAAACGTTACTGATCCTGAATATTTGTAACATCCAGTAATGTTTTCCTGCCATTATACTCTTTTGCCTGTTCGTTGATTTTGCAATTTTTTTCACTCTCACATAACTATTTATTTTACACACAGCAAAGTTATTCTTTAGCAGTAGGCAGAGAGAGAGAGGTGGTATCCAGGACAGATTGTTGTGTCCAGCATTTTAAATAAGAAGAATTTTAAATAGAAAAAAATAACAGGAAATAAAGAAATAATAAACATTTTATTACATACTTGCTGCCAAAATAGCAGAGTATTTCTAAATTTGTATGAATACTTATCCCATGAGTCATTGATAAAATCTGAAGAAATAGCAATTTTTAACGTTTTGACTGGATGACATGATAGACGACAGATAGATAGATAGACAGATAGATAGATATATATAATAAGTAGACAGAATGTTCTGTCAGTATTTTTATTCTCATTATGATTTCTTCTTTAAGCATCTTTAAAAAGTGAGCTATTTGCAAGAACAATTCTTATTTTTCAGAGGGGAAAATAAAAGCATCTAGAATTTTATGTTGCATTCTCAGAACTTTACTAGTAGTTGATAATAGAGCTAGAACAAAATTTCACAATTATACAAAATATTATTTCTGTTCAAAATAAACATGATCAGTATTTTTTTTTTCTTTTGAGACGGAATCTCGCTCTGCCGCCCAAGCTGGAGAGCAGTGGCGCGATCTCTGCTCACTGCAACCTCCGCCTGTCAGGTTCAAGCAATTTTCCTGCCTCAGCCTCCCAAGTAGCTGAGACTACAGGGACGTGCCACACGTGATCAGTATTTTTAAAAGAATTCAGTCAGATTCAATCCACAGCTTCCCTAAAGGAAGTCTAAAGAAAAAATATTGTATGGTAAGATATGATGTCAACAAGTACAGAGAAAAAGACATAGTATCTCTTTCTTATTCTTTGCTCACCGTGGAACATACCAAAGAACCTCTTATAAAATAGGTGGTAACATTCACTCACAAGGCAAACCAGACTCCAACTTACAGTCTCAACTAAAGACTGCACATCTGGATAAAAACCAAACGCTGAGCAGAGTAAGTTCATTGGAAAATGCTTCCTTTCTATAGTGCTAAAAAGACTACTTGATATATGTTCTCTGAAAATACTTCTTCAAACACACTGGCTAAGCTTAACTAAATAATGTCTAGGCCATGCTACTCCCATAATTATTGATAGCAGGATAAAGAAAAAAGAGTCATTAAAGTATGTTTTCATTAGGAAAATAAAATTATGCTTTCCTGATTACCTCATCTTGCTGCCCATTCATATGTCCTGTTCCTTTTTAATGTTTGCTCATTAAAAATGCAGAGTGTTCACTTCCCAGAGCTTCCATTTATCTCTAGCTAACATAGATAACTCATATTCCTAAATAACAAGACTCAGAGCCCTTGTATTCCATGTTCAAGTAATAGGAGCATAAAAATTCAATTGTGTTAATATTTTTAGAAGAGATTTAAACCACACTATGATTAGTTAACAAAGACAGTTACTGTATAATGAAAGGAAAATTGCTCTTATTGAATTAGTTGATTTTTTTTTCTAATTATAACACTGCAGGTGTTTATATCTACAGATTGCATTGGTAGGATAATTAGGTCCAGCAAGTATGTGAATTGTGTTAGGTTAAATTAGCTTATCACCGGATAGGAACTTAATGAAGTGGAAATATCTTTCCAGGCAGTGCCTGAATCATCAGAGGTTGTAATGACTACTTAATATGATGCTAAGAAATAACAAGTTTAAATTAGGAGATAGAATTGCTTTAGGACAAATGTCATTCTTTAAAAGACTCTTATTTTTCTTTTGGGAAACGTAAATCAAATGATTAATGGTGCAAAATTACTAATTCCCCTCCATCATCTAATCACTTAATCTGATAATTTTTTCTCAACATCATTTGATTGTACTGAAACACACGTCGTGCCTGTATGCATTAAAGTTAAATATTCAAACCATTCTCTTCTCCATCTAGTTACTTCAGTTACAGAGGAAATCTAATCAATCGCCCTAGAGGCCAAAACAAGATAGAAAAATACTTTGTTCAGTGGTGCTGTGCCTAATATTTCCACAAATACATGAAAATAAGACTCTAGTCTACAATTCCAGCTTCTCTAACAATCAGTTCAATCTGTCTATATGAAATAAAAATCAAATTGTTTTTCCCTTTTTTCCTGTAGAAGTGGTGCACATACCAACCATGTTTTTATTTTCCTCTATCAGGACAAGCAGATGTAAATTTAATGTTTATTTGAAGTTCCCTCATAATTATTTTTGCAACAAATATAGATCACACACCAAAATCAGGGCATAATAGGAATAGCTAAAGTCAACACAAAACTGAATATATAGACAACACATTCAAAGTCTAAATTTTCCAGTAGAGAAAGTATTTTGCTTCTTACCAACCAAAAATTTGCCTGATTTAGATTTTTTATTTTTTATTCTTATTTGATTGGCTTTAAGATCTGTTAACTTCATGCATTTTACCATGTGGCTTCTTATATTCTTTCTTCCGAGTAGGTGGGTTATAACTTTTTTTCATGTGTTTTATTAAAAGATCCAAATCTTGAACTAATGAGGGAAAAATGAAATATCAATATCATTGTATTTTTTATTTCCTATGTATGCTTTACAAACCTTTTGTCTTAACTGTAATGACTATACTAACTTGAATGTGCTTGTGTAAAGATCAACAATATAGGAAATCTACCAATTAAATGATGCTAAACAAAGCAGCAGTCTACACACTGTTGGACATCTTGTTAACTTTAGAGGAGTGTTAAGTCTCTTGTAAAATCAGAAGGGAAAGAGAAGAAAGTTGCTCATTACAACACATAATTCTCACACTTGAAAAGCCTACATGAAGTGAATTTTCTCATATTTTTAAGATGCTTAGAGGGATAGTTAAGAGAGGAATTTGTTGTAAATAGTAAGATCAATTAAAGATAGCCTGATGCAAAGTTAAAAGTCAGAACATGAGATATTTCTTTTTTGCTAATGTTTCATGAGGATTTATCTTGGTTTCTCGCCAACACTATAAACCCGAAAAAACAAATTATAGGCTTGAAGTTACCATTAAAAAGACCTAATAATACTTTAAAATGTTCATGAGATCATTTATCTATATGTTATCTATTTTATGTATGCTTTCATGATGATTGTCTCTTTTAATCTGCTCAGCAAGTCTTGGAGGTAAAAAGGATTATGTTCTAATTTTAGAAATAGAGAAAAGTACAACACAGCAATTGAATGGTATTTCTAAGCTCAAGAGATCATTGGGGATTGAACATCAATAAAAACTCATTTGTTTTTGTTTCTAAATCAATGGGCATCTTTGCACAGACTACACACATGCTAACAAGACCAAATTTTTAAAAATCTATTCTCATATATTTTAAAAATATCTCTTCTTCCCTATGCAAATGCTGAAAAACAAACAAAACAAATCCCAAACTGGAATTCAGAGTCTAAGAAAAAATGGAATGCCGAATATTCCTATTGCTATTGGTCATATTGATCAATTTCTTTTTAAGTTTCTCTTTTTTTTTTTTTGCTTCATTTTTATTAAGAAGAAATAGAAGAACAGCAGGTTTAGATTGCTTTAAGTATACGAAAAATGATCATTCACCTGTGCAAACAGACCTTTTGAACATAGAACCAACTACAGTAATTTTTTCCTGGTTTATCACACTTGGCTCACCTTCTTATTGGTAAGAATTAATCAGCATTCATCTATCCCGTAAGTACACACACTAAATAAACAAATATGTCTTAAGTAATTCCCTTTATTTTCCTTGTTCCAAGGTATATTTGAGCTAGTTTTATCAACAGACATTTCCTGATCTTAGTATCAGGAGTAGGGTAAAGCAATAGAGATAGAAGCCCTGTGCAAAGTTCTGAAAGAATCATGGTAATAATAATGACAAGAGTTGGGTACTGAATATATACATCAGAAATAATGCTAGATCATTTTAACAATTTATTTGTAATTCTCACAGTGGGGCTGCAATTAATTTATAGTTAAGTAAATTCTCCTGTTCTTCAAGTTATTCTGAGAAAAATAAAGCCTTTGGAAACATTGCATTGAAATGAACATTTTCTCATGTAATGGAATAGCCAAAGATAGACCGCTGTTTGTGTTCTCTGTAGACTGATCTCAGTGGGAAGGCCGACTACGGCAAAGAGAATGTTACCACTTTTTTACAGTTCTTAAAACATTAATTCTGCATGTTGTTGCTACTGTAGTACTAGTTTCACAATGTTGCCTAATCTATACATACAAGTAATCGCTTATTAGTAAACTCATTAATCGTAAACTTTTTAAATTATAAAATTTTATAAATATATGTTATATGTGGTAATCAGAACCAAAGTACACTCAAACTCAAAATAATCATTTTTTTTCTTATTCAGTATTTTAATATGTTTCAGAGTTACCTATGCTTTGAGAGTTGGGAAATGATTTGAAATAGCAGTGAAATATTTTTATTTCACTTCCTTTTATGTTTAAGATGTAACACAGTATAAAATCAGAGTTTTATAATTTCTGAAAAAGTTCATATATTAAAATGAGTCTCTTACAAGCACACACACGACATAAAGAAAATTTAGTAGAACTGTAAACATTGTCAGAATCATATATTAAAAAGTAGAAAAGCCTTTGGATGTCTAAATTTTACATATTTTCTTAGTAAAAATAACGGGCATTCTTAAAGACCGATGGAGATTACTAAAGAAGCAGCAGAAGAGAATTGAACCCTTGAGATTGAAGCTTTGAATATATGTTTTGCTTTCCTAATACCAACTAAGATTTTTATGCAAGTAGTCCAGTAGTACAGAAATACTGGAAAAAATGTGTTCAGAGTTGGAAGGACAATTAATGAATTCTCCCTGTCTTCCAATCTTATACCACTAAAGAGGACATTTCTGCAACTCTCTACCTTGTGAATTAACCCTTGCTAAAGAAGACTGTCTAACCTGACTAGTTGGAGTTTGATCTCTTATAACATTTGATCAACTTTTACTAATTAGATTCAATAAAATGATACACTTTCACTTTTTATCACCTCCTTCACTCAATATTCTCTCTATTTTGCTCTCCCCTCCTAGGCTGGGCACAGTCTTCCTTCTGTTGATTACAACATTCTAGAGGCACAGCCTGGCAGGACTGGTCCACTATTTTCTAAAGACACTTGATAATTTGAAGACAAAATATGTGGTGTGATTTCAGGCAAAATAAAATGTTTAATCTGCCTCATCCCACTGATTTTTAAGCAAAGTGTCCTTCATGTAAGTTTACATAGTTTTTAAATGGATTAATAAAGTTAATGATTGTTTTCCATTTGAAATATATGTGCTTCATTAACAAAATTTTTGAGAAATCCAGGGGTAATTTCTTGGACTAGCTAATATTTATAATGAGAAAGATTCTATGAAAGAAAGAAAATGAATATGTCAAATTTGCCTTTGTCTTACAAGAGAATATTTAAAGGTATCTTTGTGACAAGTATTATCATTAGATTTTATTTAAAGATAATATTGCAGATGTCAATGAGTACAATGAGTATTTTTCAACACAAAATTAACATTAATTGTGGTAAAATAGAATAATTTTACTGCTTTGTTCAGTTGAAAAAGTGCACTTAAATTATTGTTTAATACATTTTTCCTCCTTTGGATTCACAAGTTTCTTGATAATTCTGTTGAAATTAAATAACACAAATTTATTTATAAAATAGTATTTATCTTAGCACACACTACACCCCCACTCACTGTAATTGCCTTTAAGTAGGATACACTTAGAAAATGTTAAATATGTCTTAAGATAAATATGCGAATATCTCAATTCTTCTAAATTCTTGGAATGAAATTTTATTTCTGTTCTAACAGTTCCGATTGCCTCAAAGAGCATAATAAGGGACAAATAGGTTTTCCATTTTAAAGTCATCATTACAGATCTATAGAAATTATTTATATTATTTCTTAACCCAGATACTCATGATGGCATGTCATTGATGGAAATATTATTACAGTCACAAGTTTCTTAAATTCCTAAACAATTTTTATACTTTAAAAAGTTAAAAATAAAAGTTAAATTGAAAAATTAAAATTAGAAAAGTCTACACACTAGACTTTATCAAACTAACATAACGTACAGATGAGAAAGTTTAAAAAATAGACCATAGATAGTTATGTGATATCCAAAATGTTTTCTAAGTTTTTGTGGTGTTACAAGAAAAAACAAACATGTGAGAAGGAGTTTGGAAATAAATATATTATGTCTACTAAAGTTAATTTAATTGAGCAAGAACACGTGCAGCGTCAAAAGTATGATGTAACTGTTCTATGTTCTTTTCCTTCAAGGAATAATGAGCTTAGTTTTCCCTGAAACTGATACCTGAGCTGACAATTTTGTTTTTATTTAGAGTTTTCTTCTAAATTGCATGCAATACTATTCAGAAATACTCGCAAAAAGAGAAAATGCATAGCAAGATTAAATTCGTAAATAAAAAATCCATCGAAATAAAGTCAGGCATAAGAACATTTTAATGTTTGTCTTTAAATTGAAAAATAATGTGAGATTTGTACTACAATGATGAAAGGTCACATCAATGTTGATAGTCAACTGAAAAAAAAAAGTGATTGTAAGATATTGATGGTCCCTGATGGCTCAGATTTCAAAAATGTTTGCAGGGGGTGCGGAGCAAGATGGACAAAATCTTAGGCAACTTTACTGATGCAAGATGCTTCCCAACATTATACAAACAAAGCTGTTGGTATTTTCCAGCAGCTCAAAGGTTTAGGTTGATGCATAGCACAAAATCTCTCTAGTTCCACATCACCATCACCAAAGTAACCAAGAACCCAGGAACACCATTTAATAGTGAAGTAAATGCAGAATGATCAATGTCTACAACAGTGTCTAAATTTAGAGGACAAAGAAAAATACATATTAATGCCGAAGACTTGACTCCTAGCTTAGGCAGAGGCACTGCAATTTTAAGACATCTCCAAAAGATTTTTTACCAAAAACTGGATAATAATATATGTACTATTTAAAAATCCATGACTTCCTGTTAACAAATATCATGGGGAATGTATATGTTAAAGAATCTATGTATGGATTTGCCTCTTCAGTTCACTTCATATAAATGAAATCATACAATAAAAAAAAATAAAAAACAACAACAACAAAAAAAAAAATGTTTGCAGTGCTTGCTTGCCTTCTGAGTATAAGAGAGATGCACTCCTATCATAGAAAAGGTGGGCTTTCAAATTAGCTTGAACTAATGATGATTTTAATAAATACACTATACAAATATGGGGAGGATCTTCATCCAGAAAGAATATTCATGGGCCACTGAAGTGAAAGGCAGGTATGTCAGAACAAAAACTAGGGGAGAAAAAGAACATCAGATGCTATTTCTGCAGAATTTATAGCTTTGCTGCACATGTTTTGCTTACTTTGGAAGAGCAGATCTCATAAATGGGGTAGGTATGTGCTATATAATGCTTTGATCTGCTACCTTCACTGGTTTATATTAAATACTTATCAGTTTTTTTAGCTAACG